GTTTGTTTTTGCCAGTATGTGTGTGTGTGTATATATATATATATATATATATATATATATATATACTCACACACATACTGGTCTACCACTTTTCCCTTCAGCCCCTTAACCTCCTGCGTCTTCCTCTTTGGATTGAGGCGCTCACTCGGTCTGAACCGAACTCAGGGGTAGCTGGCTGCACGCACCCTGAGTACCCATAGATTGTTTGACCGGTCACTGGCCAAGTTCCGCCTGCTGCCCACGTTGTGTTAGTTTTTAGATCCAGTAAGCGAGGTGTTGTCCATACGTTCACAGTCGATTGGGGATGTAGGCACGGCTGTGAGGGTGGGCAGCAGGAAAATTAGAATGTGGCAAACAAGGAAATAATATCTGCAGAAACCGAACAACAATAGGTAAAATATTGATGTCTTTTATATAAGAAAACAACAAGGGTAGAAAGAGTTTACAGAAAGGATAGAAAAGCAATTAACATAAGAACAGAGGACCACTCCTCTACCAATTATACCAACAGAGAGAGGTGTGTGTGTGATTAACTCATCCCAAATCAACTTGGGAGGATATGTGACTCATAATTCCAGCCCTAAGTGGAAGTGTAGCTTTTCAGTTGGTTGTCGTAAGTGACAAACATTAATTTTCAGCGACTTTTCAATGCGACTGCTACAACAACGACGATGATATTTCTTGAAGTCCTTATCTCTGACTCACCACTGGACCGACTCACTGCAACGACAGTCTCTCTCTCTCTCAACGTCACTCTCGTCTAATGCCCAAGTCTCCCCAACTCAGCAAAACTTGTGTTTATATAGCAAACCGAAGGTTATAAGCCAGGTTGTTCACACACTTAACATGAGTGTCGCCATAAGCAAAGTTTAAATTCAGATCTATTTCAAATCTCTTAGTGGATAAAATTAATTAGTTCAATGTTCATTTCAATTGTCTTTTCGATGACCAAATTCAGTGGATACAACTTATGTTTAGATCAGATTTCGCTAGCAGTAAACATACACTGATCTTACCTCCCCAGTCCAATTTACTTCAATATGTTTTTATCAAAAATATTATTTTTGTCTATTTTTTTTTTTTTAAATGACCCAAATTAAACATCGCCTCCTGCCCTTTTGCATTTGTTTATAAACAAGTTCTCGCCAACCTGATTTGAAATTTATTCTTTATCCATCAGCCGTCTCAGGTTTCATATATCATTGTTCTAGATTCTTTCCTATTAATAGCGCTGACACAATTTGTAACTTTCATGGAAGATTGTTTTCCATCTTCAATCAATAAACGTTATATTTGCATGTGTGCATTCATGTGCATCAACCTCTCTCTGTTACACTGGCAAAAACAAACACAATATATATATATTTATTTTCTTTCTCCATAGATACATGTGTGTGGGGTTATGATCTGTTTAGTGCTGGTTTAAATTTGACTATGAATTTTTTTCTTGTATTTGTAGGTAAGAATAATTGTCTGTTTGATATATTGGCATAATTTTAAATTTACCTTGGTTACATTTGTAGATATGTTGTAATACAAAAAGTTTTCTGTTGTTTGGTAATTTGATGTTGCTTTTGTGAAGGGAAACTGTGTTGTTTAGTGCTTGGCTGATCCTGATATCTATATAAGACTTGTTGCATTTTGTGCACTTAAGTGCATAAATCACATTTTTGGAGTTGGAGTTTAAATTTTTATTAATTGTGAATGTCATTGTGGGTTTTTCAAAAGTGTAGGAGTTTCCTTCTATAATGATATCACAAACCCCTCATCTTGTTGCATTTTGTGACGCCCTGTATTGTGTGTTAGCTAAATGTGGATGAGGTTAATATGTGTTTTAAGTTTTTTGATTGGTGTTTGCTTTTAATTATTTTCATTGTTTTTAGTATATTTTTCATTTTATCATTTTTGTTAAGTAGTTCTGTTCTGGATTGTTCTTGTATGTTGAGACATATGCTAGAATTTGTTTGATATTTCTTTGGATTTTGTAGTTGGTCTAAAGATATTTTTTCTGCTAGTTCAAAACCTTTGTTTATTAGTGTTGTAGGGTAGCCTCCTTTTTTTTTTTTTTTTTTAAAGTTTTATGTAGTTCTTCTAGGCGTTTTTTTCTGAGGTGTTTGTTGGCCACTATAGTGCAAACCCTACATGCTAGAGAGTAGGAGATGGATTTTAGACAGCTTTTTGGGTGATGACTCTTGAAATGAAGATATTGTTGGGTGTCTGTAGGTTTGTAGTAGATATCTGTGATTATGTGGTTGTTTCTGTTTCTCATGTTTTCTCATTAAAATTGTATTCTTGGGTGAATTTGATTTTCAGGTGTAAGTTTTGAAGTAGAGTGTGGAATTGGTTAATATCACCCCATGAGAATTTCCAGGCAATGAAGCAATCATCTAAATATCACTTCCAAGATTTATTGAAGTGGGTTTTTATATTTTCCCCATATATCTGTTCTATCTTTCATACAGGTTTTACTCTAGGTAAGCTAATGTTAGGGTGACATATGTTGGTGCCATTTTCGTTCCCATTGCAGTACCTAGGGTTTGGATATAGTTTTTGTTGTCAAATTCAAAAGTGTTATTGTTTAGAATTAGGTCTATACTATCGATAATGAATTCCTAGGTGAATATGGGATGTAGTGTTTCTGGATGTTTTTCAATCCAGAATGAGATTGCCTGTTTACCTGATCATGGCTTTTTCTAATTAATCTGTCCCAGATATTTCACCTGTCTCTTTTTGATTCTAAGTACAAGTGTCCTTTTGGTTTGCATTTTCCTGAAAATTTCCTTGTTGCTCATACATTCTTAGCATCCTTCTGTAAAACCATGTCTTTTGCTTCCACATCTGTCAGGAAATTGACACATTTATTGCTATATAAGAAGATTGATGCCACAACAGTTAAACTCTCTTTTCTTTGTTGCAAACTAAATTTTCCTGCTTAATAGTTTGTTTACTTTTGGAAAGCATCTTTTACTTTTCCACTGAACCTTCAAATTTCAGTGTCTCATTTTCTGTTCTCTGTTAAAACATTTCCTAAATAGTTAAATTTCTGTACTTGTTTAATTTTGAAGCTTGCATCATGAGCTATTTCTTTTGCTATTGAAAATGCATTCAGCCTTCTTATAATTGATGATCAGTAAAGAGTGGGAGAAGAAAGAATATCACCTCTCTTATTCTGAATATTGAATAAGGTGAATAACCAGTTCAAAACATGATACAGACTGCCACCCTAATGACCTTGATTCAGGACTATGGTAGTTGATATGATAGGCTCCTGAATGTCCAAGCTAAAAAAATAACAGCCTCATAAAAAAGATATACAATTCAAACTTAAATAATAAAAAAAAACTTGAGAAGGTAATAGAAATTACTTTTTAAAAAAGGTTCAAAACACATTCTTTCAAATAAGAGTCACATAATTGAAAGGCAAAAACAAAAACAGAAGGGCCTTGACAGACTTCACTTGCATCACTAAAACTTAACAATTTTTTACTTTTCTAGAAGACAGTTCAATTCACTTCACTTTGGTTCTGTCTCTTTTTTGTTTGCTCATCTACAGTTGACAGCCAAAATAACTTTTCCTTCTGGTTGAAATTTTTATGCCTTCTGATCTCTTTGAAATTTTAGACCTCTTTGTTGAAAATTTTTACACCTTGTCTCTTTGAAACTTATACACATTCTGGTTGAAAATTTTGACACCTGAAATTTTCTGCTAACATGTTTCCTTATATAGCTTTCAAACAGGCTCCAGATAGATCTCAACTTTTATTTACATGGGTGGAAGCCACACTCGCGATTGGTTAATAGATACAAAGGTGGTATATCTTTTTCAAATTTGAAAAAAAAAAATCACAAACTGTCTGCTTTGACTGAATTATTTTCAGTAGTTCTTTTTGAGCCATTCTATGTAGAAAATTGAACAAACCTGTTTCACATTAATAGATTTACTCTAGTCATATTTTAATTACAAAAAAAACATTTCTCTTAAAAGCAAGTTCAAAAGACAAACTTTGTCTAATATTTTAATCTACACTTTTTTTTTTTTTTATTAATTTAAATCTTTTTATATAATTCATTTAAAATCTTTATATTCTCCCCCCTCAAGAGAAAAAGCAATAAACAAAAACATAGTATCGTATTATTGATAATTATTTTATATTCACCTAAAATGTTTTAGTCCTTTCTAGCTTGTCTCTGAGTTCTGTAGTTTTTTGTCTGTGTATGCGATAAATACGGTGTCATTTGCGTATGTTATACTATTATGCGCTCAGAGGGCACCTCGAGGTGGTGTAATATGGCTAGCAAGCTTGTCTCGCTAGAACAATTACGATTGAGTAGTGAGTTCGATCCTCACTGGGTACCCCCTACTTTCGGCCTTGTGCCACATCTAAGCTACGCTTGGAAAATCACTATTATGCGCCCAGAAGCACGTTCCCTTGGTCTGTCTGTGCGACTTGTGGTTCGCCCGCCTGTGGAATCACTCGAATTCACTTTTTAGTTGTTTGTCCAAATTTTGTGAAATTCGATTTCGCCAAGGAGACTGTGCCTACCAATAATAAGTCCTGTTAGGACTTCTAGCACGTTTAGGACCGCCTTGTTGTAAGGTTGAATAAACACGGTGAGAAAACATTCTTGTCTTATGCCCCTTTCTATTTTTGTGTATTTATTCAGTTCATTTTCTATTCCTATGCAGGCGGTTTGTTTTTATGTTCCAACTTATTCTGTTGATATATTTCCTAACAGAATGCTCAGAGAATTTATCACTCCAAATTATCTCCCCTGGACACCGTTGACTAACATACATCTATTTTGGGAGGAATCTCACTCTGCAATTTCGCTTTTATCAACTTTTGCATATTCACCACTACAAAAGTACCTTTTTGTAAACGGTCGATCTAGCTTTGCCAATGAATATTTAATTCTGAAGAAAGTTCAGCTTCGGATAAGTTGATTTCGCATGTAAAAATCAACTACATTACAAGAGCTTACAAATAACTCACTCCTAAATGTTTGATAAGGTAAGAAGGCAAACTTTACTAATTAAATTACTTTGTGAACATATGTAAAAAAATTTTGATTACTGTCCAAAGAAAAATTCAAGTGAAATGAAAATTTACACAATTTTTCTTTTGTTTCATAATTTGAAAACATTCTTTCTTTTGTAAGAAAAATAAATGACGGCTTAAAAAACTAAAAAAAAAAAAATCTGTTTGAAATTGAAGCCTTGTTAAAAGTTTCAAATTTGTTTTACTTTTTTGTAACAAACAAAAACAAAGTTACAAAAGCAACTGCTGTCAACTTTTGTAAGTTGATTTTTTGTTTTTAATATATCGTTTAAAAAATAAATAAAATAATGCTTCAAACCTGTATGATTTGTCAAACTCAAATAAGTTCAACTCCCACCAAGAAAATTTCAACTATTGAAAAATATAAATTCTGATTTAATTTTCTTTTAAAAGTGGTTATTTATTTTAAATAAATTGACAACCAAACATTCTGTAAGAAGAACTTTACTCATCCTTGATTGAACACTTATTCAATTGTGTACGTGAAAATCCGAAAAAAAATATGATTATCCTCTTACCACGAAAGGTTTCACTTTATTTTCTTTTATGTGAAAAAATCTATTTAAATCCTAGGGTATTTCCATTGTTTACTCAACTAAAAAAAGAAAAAAAAAACTAACAGGGATAGCTGATCAAATTCCATTTACTGGAATTATAATAAATTAAAGTAAAAATATGTTTCTACGCTATGTAAATAAAATGAAGTGCAAACGCAAACCAGGTTAATAATGGTCACGTGGAGTACCTGATCATGATAAAGACAAGCAATTTCATTTGACAAATTACCACTGAATACAGAGTTGAGTTGAACCTTCACTTGTGCCAAATCTGGGCTAGTCAATAAACAATTATTAGCTGTTTAATAGTAGGTCTAAAAAGTTTGGGTAAGACACACAGTCGCACCAATGGCAAAAAATCTTTTCAATTGGTGACCAGTTTAATTTTCAGAAGTTTAAAAATTTGAAATAAATCATAGATACAAAAAAAAACACATACACACACACACACTAATTTGCGAATGTGTAGTAGTAACATTAACAATGTTTTTCAACCTGTTGATACTAAGTTACTATTATTAATTTTTATGAAAAAGTTTTTAAAACCCAAAAAAAAATTTGTCAAAGTACTACTTTGAAAGTAGGTAAATAAATGAAAACTTTTATCGTCAAACAAAAATACAAAATCGTTATTAAAAACCAAAAAAAAGAATCAAAGTATTTTTTTTTAATATAATTTAAATAATTATTTTTTTTTTACTTCCTTTTAGAACATTCGAAATTTTGATTAAAAAAAAAACTTGTTTTTCTTGTGTCATCAGCAGTTGTACTAACTTAGCATAGCAAATTTTGGCCTCTTTTTTTGCAGTGACAGACATTAATTTGGAAATTCTTGCAAAAATCAAATAATTGTCGGATTTTAATGAAATTTTCAGGACTTATTCACAAATGAATGAAACCATTTTTTTTATTAGAAAATCTTAAAACGTGTTTCAGACCCTTACTTAATTTTATGAAAACTTGAGAAATTCGGCGAGATAATTTTTAGTGATTAAAAAGCAGAATTCTTTGAAGAATTTAAATCACCAAATTTTTTTTGCAAAATCGGACCCAGTCTTACCAAAAATCTGTTCAGAATTGAAAAATGAAAAAAAAACTAAAAAAAAAATAAAACATTATTTAATTAGAGAGGCTTTTAATTGCTTTTATGAATAATATATGTTAAAGTAAAGACAATATTGTCTGAAAAAAAAAATTTCAACGAAAATGAATTTTTACAAGATTTGATTTCAGTTTTTTACAATTATAAATTGAATAATTTAAAGATTTTATTTTTAAATCTTTTAAAATTAATTTTCAACGAGATAATTCTTAGGAAATATTGTTATTAATTAAAACTGTATTTACTAATTATATATTGTAAAACTTATTACAATTTGATGACCACAAATATTTTTAAAAGAATTTTGATTTGTTTTTCCATGTGTGATTATGTGCAGAATTTCTGAAGTATGGATGTACAAACCAATAAATCTAGCATTTAAAGGTAGTATGTTTTAAGGGTTATCTCTCCCACCTATAAACTTTATCGTCTGCTCCACCATACTTAACTATGTACACGTTTGGCTGTCAACCAAATGTATATAAATCGATTAACACGTCAGAAAAACAAGACCCCATAGTTAAATGTTTGTATACAACATTTTATGCTATAAATAAGTAATATTTGCTTGAAGTCAGATTAATTTAACTTTATTTGCTAATTTTCTTCAAATAACATTTCAGAAATATTTTATATTTGCAAGAATTTTAAAACTGAGAATTAACTTTTATTTATGAATCTGTTAAAAATGGCCATTTTGATCGATTTTAATGAAAAAAAATTATTCCAATTAATATAATTTCTATTTGAAATATACCAGAGTATTTTGCTTACTGGAAAATAGTAAATTAAATCCTTTAGCTTTCAATTAAGCTAAAATGAAAGCTTCAAGAAAGCTGTTTCATTTTTAAAAATTAATTTTAAACCTTATGTATACTAAATTAGTGGAGATACCTATTTGAATGTAACGACTATAATTAGTCATTGAGCACTTTGACATGGTATTAAATGGTTTGCAAGCTTGTCTCGCTAGAGATCAATTACGACGGTGTAATGAGTTCACTCTTCGCTGGGTGCTCCATACTTTTGGCCTTGCACCACAACTAAGCTGTGCTTAGTAAATCACTAATTATAATTAGTCAATACATGTCTTCAACAAAGTTAGACTGCGAATTAAACTGTGTTCATAGATAACAAATAATTGTGTTTGTGGGCCAACTCTAACCAAACTAACAACTAAATCAGTTGTTACTTTTTTTTAGGTGAATACATCTCTATAATAACAAGTTAGGTCCTTATTTCTGTTCAAACATCTTTTTCAGCCAAAAGTAAAATATCTAGTATCAGAGCCATAATTCACATGTGCAAAATAGTAAGTTAAAATTTATCATTTATAGTTTTAATAAAATACATTCTTTGATTTTTCTCGAAATATATATTTAGATATATTCCCTTTTATGCAAATGCTTGTTGGTTCCTTTTTCTCTGTGAAAACACTTAGAGTTTAATAGATGATGTCAGCTGTTATTCCATATTGTTTGAGAGTATGAAAAAAAATGAAACTTTTTTTGGTTCTACTTTTTTACAACAACTGAACATAACTTTTGGATGCCAAGGACATATTGCAGCAATAATCTTCACAAGTTCTTTGTTCTGCAATAAACTTGTTTTCTTTCAAACAAAAAATAAAAATTCTAGCAAATTTTTTACTTTCAATTTTGCTCATACAGTTTATGACCCTGATTCTAGATCTTTACCCAACCCAAACTTTTCCTATGTGTTAATTTCTAATTGGAAGACAACATTCATTTAAAAAAAAAGTCACATCATATACACAAAAAGTGAAAATAAATGAGTTTTTTTTTTCTACTTTTAACATTTTGTTTATCTGGTGCTGTTGGTTACAATGGTCTGTTAATGAATATTTATTTAATTAAATTTAATAGATACAACTACCAACAAAAAAACTGGATGCTTTTTTCCAAAATGAAAGCAAAATATCACTATCCTCTGTATTAAAATATTTGCCAAAAATTAGGGAATTATTTGATTCACGTGAAATTTTAATACTTAATGAATGTAGGTTATTTTATTAGAAAATTTTGAGGTTATGTTATTTTGGGGATGTTTCACTTCCCATTTTCCGATATCTTCTGAAAGCAAAGGAAATGTTTGTTGCAGATTAATTCCACAACGCAGAAAACAAATCCCTGTAAGTTCAGACTCGAATATTGGGGGCAGAAAGAAATGCTGAAAACTCGATTCACAGGTACTGTTTCACAAATCCCAATGCACGTAACCAGTCAGAAAAATAACTCGCTCTCCGACTAATGCAGTAGACAAAATAGATCAATTTTTCCTTCCCGATTCGAAAACACCAACTGCTTTTATCGGCCGAGCATTTTTTTCATTTGTCAACAACTGGGAGAAGACGCCAAATTTTTTCATATCAAAATACTTTTATAAAGACTCATGTGATGGACTTGTTTTTAATCTAAATATTCCATCTTCAGTATGTCATGCGGAATGTGTGCCCCGTTTTTTTTTTTTTTTTTTGGTAAGTAATTTTCTTTTCAGTCATAGGATACAGCGATGCACTGTCGCTTGGTTTGATGAAGTAAGTCACCGTTTTCTTCGCTATAAGTATATGGGTTGATGTATCCCTGTCTCAACCAAGGCGAATGGGTTTAACTTTCTTGGTAAATTCCTAATAGAAATTGCAATCTGTGGTGGGTGATGAGCACAGGGCTAATGGAGAAAATAAAATCACTTGGCAAACTCAAATAAAACAACACAAATGGAATCTCTCTGACTCTGATTCAGGAACAGAAGCTGAAATTGAATTCCCTAGATTTGTCATAATTGAATCTCTAGAGGAAACAGGCTAATTCTTAGGTTCCATTCCATTCTTCGTAGAAAAATCTTTGATCAGAGAAAATATTGAGAAGCGGTAATCTACTTGTAAACAATAAGAAACGTGCAGATAACATTTAAAATTAAATCTTTCCACAATTTAAAATGTAAGTCTTATCCACATGAAAGACTTCACATCTCAAAGGGAGTTATCGGAAATGGCTACACCAGAGGAAATAAATGTAGCCTTAGAAAAGCAAGGGTTCTCCAATTATAGAAAGATAAGCATAAAAAATAGGTGATCAACAAATACAAGCCCACACACACACACACACACATATATCTTAACATTTAATAAATCCTAAATCTCCTATTTTTAATAGCCACAATACTATTTGGGGATCCAAGGAGACGAACAAAAAGCGAAAAATTACAGAGAAATTTCTTATGAATAATGATCTATGCCTACTCAACCAAAAAATATTGATACACATCAATCA